TAAACTTCTTCGAACGCCACTTCTTCAAAATAGACTCACCCAGGCCATGGTATTTTGTGGAAGAGCCACATTCAAGGGGCCAAAGAGCCGCATGTAGCTCGAGAGCCGCAGTTTGCTGACCGATCCTAAACAATTAAGTGGCAATGCCAGGTATTCTGATTTATGCCTCTTTCAGCTTATAGTTCATTCAGAGTCCTCAAAGAAGAGTTCTGTAATAGTCTCAGACAATTTCCTAATCAAGTTAAATGGTTTCAGAATAATTTTCTAAAATACATAATTGGTATCCTAAGTGTTCCCCTTCAGGGCAATAAAATCCACACAGTACATTAAAATTTATAACTGTTTATTTACCAATACTGAGCACTTGCCAAACAGTGAGTTAAGAGCATGAGAAATTATACCCTCAATTTTAAGAGCCCTGAAAACTATGTTTGCAACCAACTTTCATGCAAAACCCTGGCAGTCCAAGCCAACTTTTTAAACATCAGATTTATGGGGCAGAAATCCCAACAAAAAATGCCAAGCCTACCCCCGCTGGTCACTGCTACCACACTGCCACCTCCTGTCTTATGACTCCAGAAGTTTGAATCAGAGGCAAGAGTCGATAAAAGAAAGTCAGCTAAGAATAGCTCACCTCTCTCCCTCCTCTCAGACCAAACCAACCGGAGTTACTCAATGGATAATTCATTCCGCTCAGAAACGTCACTGCTAGAAAGTTGTTGTCCTAATGCTGCTGAAGACCATTACAATGGAGTTGCTTTAAGTATATGAATCAAGGTAGCTCATCTTTATACAGCTTCGCTTTCATATAAAATGCCAGATCTGTAAGATAACTGCAATGATGTGGCTCATAAGAGAATTTCAAAGTATGGCACACATCATTTCCCTCTTGCTGACTGAGTGAAAGAGGTGCCTGCGCAAAAGTAACTGAGCTACCACCAAGTTACAGACAAGAAAGAAATACACGTCAAGTTTCTGACAGGGGAAGTCTCGGAGCTCTGTAATTCTAGAAATATGTTTAAGTCTCAGCTGGGAACTCATTTATTTCCAGCAGAATGGCAAATCAGAACAAAATATGCCCGTTAGCTTATTACTGACATTTGGCGGGAGCAGATCACTAGGTGATCACACAAGTCCAAAGGAGAGTCACAAACACAGGCAAGACTCTCAATTCCCACTGGCTCGGCACATGTCATGCTTCCTTACATCTTCCTGGTTACCGTGGGCAGCCATGCACAGCACTTTAACATTTACTTTTTGTATAAATTCTAATAAGGGCAAAGTACAAAGTCTTTTAAACGCTTCCAAACTGTATTGAGAACACAGGCTGACATCAAGAAAAATCTCACAATTTAAGCAGCCACGCATTACTGATCTTAAACTGAGCACTCCAAAGATAATCCTGCTTACAGTTCTTTACCAAAAGTTTCCTAGCATTCAGACTCTCACGTCTCCGCATGTGTGCGAGATCTCCCTGATTCACAAGCTCCACCTGGGCCGTTCTGCTAAGCCAGGCGGCACAGCCGTGCACACCTAGGCTTAAATGGTCAGCGTTAAAAGCAGCTTTTGCTGTCCCGAAACAACAGGATCCGAAGCCCTGGCTAGTGGGCACTCGGCTAGTGGACATACGGCTGGTCAGAGCATCAGCCTATCCATACTGAACAGCTATTAAAAGGAAGCGCTAGCTTTTCAACAGCCAATTAAAGATAGACTTAAAATTTTTATACATGCTGTCTACTCAATTTACATGTTAAGCACTCGATTCTAAAATGCAAATGAGTTGTTCATTTATTTTTAAGAAAACAAAACAAAACAAAACAGAGATTTGAGCTTAGGCACCACAGTCTTTCTTAACCAATTCTGCCTGGGGGGGGGGGGGGGGGAATTAACACTATAATATCCTACTATTTTTGCTCCTTTGTTCAAATAGATATTTGGTTACATAGTCTGATCAATATATCCTAACAACTAAACCATGAGGGCGTTTAAGCTATGAAAGTCTGAAAATATTAAATTTTTTTCATAATTTAAAGCAGTAATGGAAAATGAAATAAAACCAGCACCCTCAGTTCCCCAGTGTAGCGACTTTCCCGGTCTTTCCCATGCCCAACATAACAACAAAATCAGTGCTATTCACATAGGAACACATACAAGGTCCCACAAAGATACCAGTGGCTCTTCCCAACCAGATGCACTACTCTTCCAGAGTCCCAGCAATTTTCACAGCCACCCTTAACTTAAACTTTACCCACGTGGGAGGGGGCTGGTTCAGCTGATGCCTCAGAGGGAAGCCAAGTCTTCACGTGTTGTCTCTTTTACAGAAAGTGCAACACTACCCCCAACATTCAGCGCAACCCTCTCTTCATTCCGGAGGGAGGAACCTCAGGCTCGGTGCAGTGCTGCGGTAATCTTCCCCAATGGAGGGGTATCTGAAGGCAGATAAACAACATTCCTTCCACATTCCCTTGAGACTTCGGTAATCGGGAGCTAAGCTTGGTCTGAACCAAATTCAACAATACCCCTTCCTGAAAGGGTCCCCGCCCAGCTCTGCTCCCAGGCAGTTAGGCCAGGCTGCCAGACATCAAATCACTTCCTAGGCCTGCTCCCCGGTTTGAGTCGCGGCAAGCCCATTCATCCATCTCAGAGTGCTGCCATAAGCATTCTTCAGCCCCGAGCTCCCGACATGCCTTGCACAGCAGGTATAAAGGTCACCACAGCATATGTGGGTGTGCCTGGCTCAGATGCCTACATGATGAGGGGATGGAATGCAATGACTGCTAAGCACAAAGAACTCCACCCAGAAGTCCAGCAGGCTCCCTTGGCAAGGACGGGTGTGTGGCGTTCACCTCTGTCACCAGTACCGCCGCTTGACCTCCTGTAGGTGCTCACAGGCATGCGGATCACCAGGGTTCCCTCTGCCCTCTCAAAGCCCATTCAGATAAGAGGTTCCGTTCAAACAGAATTGTAAAATGAATTTCCAGGACATTTCTCTAAGGAAATTCCAAAAAAGAAAGCTCTACTTTTGATTTTAGCCATTTCAATATAAGCAAAGGAGTTACTTTTTTATTCTCTGAGTATAAAGTTGTCTCCAGTACAGTCCTATTTATTTTGCTGGTAAGATAGTATCATTTAAAGTCCTAAGCATTTTAATTTAATCTACAGTGTTCATAAAATGAAGCTTCCACTGATAAATCTAGTAACATTACACCTTATGTGCTTTCCTAAAGAGCAACCTGCTCATTATAAAGTAACAAGTAACTAAGTTGTGTTTAGGTTGAGCAAAGCCTTTATGAATAAGAGGCAGTTCTTACCAGATGTTTTAAGTTTAATTCCCTACACATGGGGAAAAATTAACACCAGGTTGGAAAGAAAATCAGCAGAGTAAGACAAAGTAACTGGCATTTGCAGTTAGGTCAATGAATTGTATCTGAGAAACACAAGGCACTTAATGTTTACATTTAGGGGCTCTCAAACGTTAAAATGCCAATCCTTCAGCAGAACCATTGCTTTTTTTAAATTTATTCAATATTTAAAGAAAATTAAGACACGCTGGCTAAACACGAAACCAATTAGAATTTGCAGAAATGTGCTCACATTCCTCCCCTCCCCCCAGGTAAACAATTCAAACTATGCCTTTCAACTTCTTTTTAAGGAGATATGACTTCATGCAGAATTTTTCAATTCCTATGAAACTGAGATCAGTTTAGATACTTTCCAGTATACATCCTATTGTTTTAGTAAAATGCTTTTACAGGATTCCATTCTAATATATGAAGTTATTTGACCCCCTACGGAAATTCTCAACTAGAACTAAATCTACCCAGTCACACCAATCTCTTTTCAACTATCCCAATGAAAATTAAGCACATGAACACGAGGAATCCACAAAAACCCAAACCAACTTGCTAACAAAAACACGATTTGTGAGAATGCTTTACCTGGAAGAGAACTCAGTCTAGAAATAGGCAATAGTGACGTTTTATGCAGCCATCTCCGCACAGCAACAGGGAAGTCCACCCCTCCCGCCCTCTCGCACCCACTATCACCATTGCCTAACCAGACAAACAGTCCTAGTTTACATTAACTTCCAGGTTAGAGCTCGGCCCGGCTGGGAGTGGGGAGCTGGGAGGGGAAAACGCGCAAACCCTCACCCCACCTTGCGAAACCCAGAAAGGCGCACACAGGCCAGCCCGGCTCCTTTTAGTTCCAGGGCGGCGATCCCGGCCGGCTCTGGAGGAAGGAGCCATTTCTCCACAACACTCCAGAACTAAAGCACAGCCCCCACCGTCTCTAAGTGACACCCAACACATGCTCTCCCAAAAGTGCAATCCCCTTGCTGCAGGAGCCCAAGTCTTGGGTCTTCGTGATCTCTTGGTGGTAACTTATGAGCAAAAAAAAAAAAATGTTGTTTAAAAGGGGCGGGGGGTGGGGGGCAGAAGCCGGAGACAAAGGCGGATGCAGGAACCTGTGTGCCTCCGGGGTGGCCGAGGGGCGCCCCTGGGCAGGAGGCCAGGCCTGGTTCACCCACGTGTCGCGTCCCGGCCGGCCAGCTCGCGGGCAGGCCATTCTCTCCCCGCAGCCCGGCAGCCACAGCTCGGGACCGGCCAGAAGGGGCACGCCACACCCACGGGCGTCCGCAGCCGCTCTGCCTCTCCCTCTCCCACACTTACGAGGAGGGGGCGGGTGGGGGGTCGGAGTCGCCCATAGCTTCCCTAAACCCTACAGATCCCCCCAAACTGCCGGCGGCTGGCTTCCGGGCGGAGCCACTCCAACTCCTCTCCTGGGGAGTCCTCGGTGGTGAGCGCTCCCTTCCGAGCCGCTGCCACACCGAGTGCGGGGACCCCCCCCCCCCCCGGCGCTGGCCACGCGCACCTGCCGCCCCTGGAGCCCGGACGCGCCCGGCAGCCGCCCGTGGGCCCGGGAAGGAAGTGCCCGCAGCTGAGCAGCCGCGTCCGCCCTCTGCGAGGCCGGAGCCCGCGGGCCCGCAGCGAACCGCTCACCTTTGCCTCTTGGGGACCGAGTGCTCCACCTCCAGCAGCTTGCCGTGCAGCTCCACTTTACCTGCGGGCAGACGGGGCGGTTGGCGGCGGCGGCGGCCCCCTCCCCGACACCCGCTCGGCCCCGGCGCGGCTCCAGGCCGAGGGGCGGGTGGGGGCCTCCCCGCTCTCCCCCGCTGGCCTCTCCCCCCACGACGCCCCTGGACACCGGGGAGGGGACGCGGCTCCGGCCCAGGCCCGCGCGGAGCAGGGGCGGCGGGCAGGGCCGCAGGGCGGGCGCGGGGAGGCCAGCGGGACGGCGCGGCGCCGCCCGCCGAGGGGCCCGAGCGGCCTCCGTGGGGCCCCCGCCCGGCCGCCCGGCCGCCCGTCGGGCTCGGGGGCGCCGGGCGGCGGAGCGGGGCCGCGGCTCACCCTGGCCGCCGGCGCCGGCCCGGCCCCCGTCGGCGGGGCCCCGCTGGGGTCGGGGAGGAAGGAGGAAGCGGCGTGCGGAGCCCGAGCCCGCGTGCCCCCCCCCCGGCCCCGCGCCCCGCGCCCGGCTTCCTGACAGCGGCGCCCGGGCCGGAGTCCGAGCCGGGACCCCGGCGCCCGCGCGTGTGGGCCCCGCCGCGGCCCCGCGCCCGCCTCGCGCGGCCGGGCCCCGGGCCCCGGGGGCGGCGGGCGGGCGGCGGGCGGCGGGGAGGCGGCGGGCCGGGCCCCGGGGGCGGCGGCCCACCTGAGAGCGCCTCGATGGCCCGGAGCGCCCCGCCGTCGTCGGCGCAGTCCACGAAGGCGTAGCCGCCCTTGAGCAGGAAGGGGCCGGCGGCCGGGACCTGCGCCTCCCGGAACACGCGCTCCAGGTCGGCGGCCGCCGCGGCCTCGCTCAGGTTCCCGATGTACAGCTTGTTCATCGCGGCGGAGGGCTCTTCGCGGAGATGGCGGGGAAGCAGGGTCGGCGGCGCGGCCCTCGTGTCCCCGCCGCTCGCACGGGGCGCGGCCGGACGGCGGGATCCCGGCCGAAGGCGGCGTCCTCCTGGCTGAGGCGGCGGGAGGAGCCCTCGGCGGCCCCGCCGCGCAGAGACTCGGCGCTGAGGAGCCGCGGGCGGGCGGGCGGGGCGGGGCGGAGGGCGGAGGAGGAGGGGAAACTACTTTTTGTCTCTTCCCCGGCCGGCCGCCCGGAGCGCCCGCCGCCGCCGCCGCCTCCCGCACGGCCCGCGGGCGGAGGGAGGGAGGAGGGAGGGAGGGACGCGCGGGGGGCGCGGGGGCGGGCGCGGGGGAAGGGGCGGCGGACGCGGGGGCGGCGCGGGCGGCGGAAAAGAGCCGCTCCGAGTGTCCGGCGTTTTGAATGAGCCACGTGTTCAAACTACAAATCAACGTCTCACGTGAGGATCCCGGCGCCGCGAGGAGGGGTTTCGGTGGGGGAGGGGCGGGGGAGGAGGAAGGGGAGGAGGGGGAGGAGGGGGGGTGGAGGGGAAGGGTGAGGAGGGGGAGGAGGAGGGGGTGGAGGGGGAGGGTGGGGAGGAAGGTGGGAGGAGGAGGAGGATGGGAGGAAGAGGAGGAGGAGGGGGAAGAGGGCGGGGAGAGGGAGGGGGAGGGGAAGGGTGAGGAGGAGGAGGAGGAGGAGGAGGAGGAGGAGGAGGGGGAGGAGGGCGGGGAGGGGAGAGCAGGGGCGGAGAAAGGAGGGAAACGCTGAAGGGCCCCGGTGGAGGGAGGGGTATCTGGCGGGCGGGTGCGGGAGGGGAGGGGAGGGGAGGGGAGGGACGGATTTCTTTTCCTCGCTGAGATGGGGGCTCAGTTGCCGGAGTTTTAAACACGGGGCTCCTGGGCACACGGCCCGGAGCCGCCGTCCCGAACTCGCCTCGCGGCCGGGGACACGCCAGGACCGCGGGCGCCGCCGGCGGGGCGGGCCGGGGAGGCGGGGAGGCGGCCGGCCCGCACCCCGCACCCCGCACCGCCGCCCGGGAGCGGAGGCCCGCGGCTCCTGGGCGGTGTCCGGCGGCAGCTCCTCCGCCGGGCGGCGGGGCCGGGGGGCGGCGGGGGACTGCGGGGGGCGGGGGGCCGGAGCCGAGGGCAGAGCCGGGAGTCGGCCTTAAAGGACACTTTCCCTCCGGTAGCTCCCGAGGAGTGCGGCGGCCGGTCCTGCCGTTTCAGTGGTTTTAGGTGGAGAACCGGGGACTCGGCGCAGCCGGACCACGGCCGCGTTCACCCGCAGGCGGGCTCGCCCCGCAAAGGGCTCTCCGCCTCCTCTCCGCCCGCGTGGCCCCGGCGCCGCGGCGGGTGCGGGAGGGTCCGGCCGCGGGGCCTTCCGGGGCCGCCCGCCTGCGGGCCGAGGAGGAACACGGAAATGGACGCGGCGCCGGGGGCCTCCGAGTGTCCTCACCGCGGCCTCCACTCAGGCCTCCTGCACCGGACACTCCGATACTTTTCATCGGGAGAGATAAAATGCTTACATTAAACAGGACGAGACTTCTAAATAGCAGAAATATATGCAAACCTCGTTAATGGCTTGGTGCTCTTACTAGTAGGAAAGTGGACTGTGCAATTGAGAAAATTTTGTGATTTACACCGAAACACCTTAATTATGACAAGTTGATGAGTTGGTTTCCCTTGTCAAACCGTGTATGGCCTTTAAAAGTGTGTATTTTCCAACTGAAAGATGAAAGGCAGGCTTTTTTAAAAATATGTGGGAATCATTGCATAGTATGAAGAGTACTTACATTTTTCTTCTTTTAAAAAATAAAGTTACTTGATAATTTTGGTTAAGGAACTGGAAGGTGTCAGATAATCCATTTTAAATGCAACTATTCTAACAACTTTTTTGGTTTTTCCTGCCAAGCAAACCCAATTTTGTAAATGTAAAACTCATTTCCTCAATATTTTCATTCACATTTAACTTAGCAAAATATTTTTACTTTATGAGATAGAAAAGACAAACTTGTTTTTATATAATTTAGAACTGTATTAAGCTCAATCTTAAAAAACAAGAACATTTTAGTAGAAATTTTGTATGACTAGGTTTCTTTCCCCCCCCAAAAAAAAAGCAGGTTTAACTTTTCAAAGAAGCTTACTTATTTCCCTTTTCATGTTTTTAAAAAAGAGAACCTTGCTTCTAAAAAAGAAAAATATATGTTCTTCCTTTATGACTTAACTGGTATAAAAATGTAAATATCAAAAATTGTGAATTTTTCATGAACCTGTTGCATGTGATCAAAAGCTGTTTTTTTTTAATATGCTTTCCATTCGTTTAGTAATGTTTGCTTTCCTAAATACCTCTTTAAATATTACAAACTAGCCTGTTGGATCATTTAACTTTTAGTAATTTCTCATGATGAACAAATTTTGCATGTTCAGCTTGTCAAGTTTCCAAAGTCAACTGAGTGGTGGTTCTGGATTTCTGACTATTTGCTCATTAAAACTGAGACCAAAGGAAATATCTACTTCCAAAGCATGGGGGGAAAAATTGTTTATTTTCCATAAATACTAGCCCATGCTTGTCTGTCACTATCACACAAATCTAACAGCTGGAATTTAAAACACTGTGTGCCGTTTTGAAGAAATATGTTCCTGGGGCTCTTGTGATTTAATCTGTGTATTATTGTAACACACTGGATACTCCCATCTAGGACCTTAAAAACATACACGAGTTATATAAGCCCAGACCTCAAAGAGGGAGGTGGCTGCAGCCCACTTAACTCCCAATCTTCCAGGCACTGAGGGATAAGGATATATTTTTCAAAAACATGGGTAATTGTTTTTTTTAATTGGCATTTCGAGTGCAAACATATCTTCGATGGATTTTCAAGAATGCACATAAGGTCCATCTGACTTGCAGGCTTTTGGTGAGCTCACACACGAAGTCAGCCGCGCACAAGGGCTGCTCCCAACTCTTCCTGAAGCAGGGGCAGCTCCTGGTTACGAATTGCACGGAGGCCCCCCACCATTGTGTGTGCTGGGCGGCCGCCCCCTCTGCCGCCCTGAGCAGCAGACCCATGCCTGGTGTTGGTAATGCATCGGGAAAGGAGAGGGACGAGGGTGACGAGGTCGGTTACCGTGGCCGTGTCCGCAGGTAATGAGCGACGGCTGAGCAGGTAGAGGCGGGAGCAACGGCGTCCCGGGGCCGCCGAGCGCCGGGGTCCGCTCCGCGTGGCCCGGCCTCCCGGGCGGCGCCGTTCCACCCGCTCCCGCCCCTTCCCCGCTCCCGGGGCCGCTCCGTTGGATCCAGATGCGTGATGAGCAGTAACCGGCTCTGCCTCCCCCCGAGTCTCCCTCAGTTACTTTGTCTGACACCAAACATGGTGCCCCGGAGGGAAGAAGGGGCTGTTTCCTTTCCCCCGCTCTGCCCGGCGCAGGCGGGACCCCCGAAGCTCCTCGCGCGGGGAAGACCTTCCGTCGGCCGCCGGCCGGCCGAGGAGGGCGGAGACCACTGCGCCGCCCGGCCTCGCCTGGGGCTCCGTCCCCCCGTCCCCCGCGCGGAGCGGCGCGGACGGTGAGACGGGGGACCCGGGGGAAGCGCTGCCGGTCCCCGCGCGCACGGCCCCGGGACCCGAGGTCCTCCTCCGCCGGGCCGGGCCGGGCCGGACAGCGCGCACCCCCGGCCGGAAGGAGCGCCGGGGGCCCGGGCGCGGCGGGATGCTCGGACGGAGAGACGGCGGCAGCCTCGCGGGCCCCGCGCCGGCCGGGAGGGGGGGCGGGGGGCGGGGCGGGGCGGGCGGCGCCGCGCGCAAACGCGGGGGGCGGGGCCTCACGCGGCGCGGGCGGACGGGCCGGGCCCGAGTGGAGCGGCCCGCGTGGCGAGGCCCCGCCCCTGCCCGGGGAGGGGGCGGGGCTCCTCCTCTCCCCCGATTGGTGGGCGGAGGGCCTATCAGCGCCGGCCGCCGCCGCCGGAGCCGTTTGCTGGGTCCCGCTCATTGGCCCCCGAGCCGCCCCTGCGTCTCCATCGTTTGTGGCGCGAAAATAGCCCTTCGCTCCCCGTCCTCGGAGAGGCCGGTCCCCCTGGGGTCCCCCGCTGCCCTGTGCCGGCGGCCCCGGCCCCGGCCCCGGCCCCGCGGAGGGGAGGGAGGGCAGGGGAGGGGGCGGAGGAGGTGGAAGCCGGTGCCGAGTGCGGGGCCCGCCCCGGGCTGACCGCGTGGCGCCCGCGGAGCCCTCTCCCTCCCCCCGCGCCCAGCGCCCGTGCTCAGCAGCCGGAGTCACTCCGTGCCCAACATCTCAGAGTCTGCACACTTTTTTCTTCTTTCTTTTTTAGTTACAACAACAAAATGCGTTTCCTTCTAAATGCCTGGATTTCCCTGAAACTAATAGGGAATCGACATGCCGCCCCCGCCCTCCCCGAGCCCCCTTTGTGGTGCACAGGGTTGTCTTAGGCAAAACCAACAGCCCTCCGACCGGCAGGCGAAAGCCCCGGGCCCCCTCGCTCTGCCGGGACCGGGGTTCGCTGTGAAGCTGTCCTAGGACCGGAGGAGCTGAGAGCAGCCTGGGAGGATTAGCGATTTCTGTGGCTGAAAGGTTCTAATTTTGCGTTTGGTGGAGACGGTGAGAAAAAAAAAAGTGAGCTTGGCTTATATATGAAGCACAAATCAAACGAAAAATCATACTTAAAATGGTTGACTGAGAAACTAAGTTGCAGCAGTGTGTTCTAGGCAGTGGGGTCTTGGCTACCTTTCTAGTTATATTTGCTATTGGTCTTCTCAAAAAATTAAAGATCAGAATTTCTGGCCATGAGAGAAAAGAGGAAAGTGTAAATTTATTTGTTACATCTAATTTTATAGCATAGTTTCCAATTCTTCCGTTATTTAAGGAAAAAGAAATGTACCAGTTAAAAATGTGACTTAATTTGTTCACAGATAATTTAATTGTTAATTTTTTTAAGTCTTGATAAAATACTTGATGTAGTTACAAAGCAGTTAAACGGTTA